CGCCCCATTGACTAGCAGCCGTCTGGGGCACATCTTCGGCCAGGGGCTGACAGGGCCGCCTGGATCCACGGGGCGCGCGTGGCCCATGCCAAGGGGGCCAACGTGGGGGCTCGCTCTTTCTACGAGAGCCTCTGCAAACACTACGGGCATATTGGGCGCGGAGAGCTGCGCATCGACGCCACGGCATGTAACCTCAGCGGGGGCCTGCTGAAGTGCGTTGCGCCTGCCTGGCCCCGCGCCGCGCGCGCGTCGACGCCGCCCGCGTCCGCGCCATCGCGGTCAATGGCGCAGTGGTCGCTTCCTGTTCCTGTGCCGCAGCCTTGGCCAAACTCCGATGCTATTCTCGGCGCTACGAGCGGCGGTTTTGGCGGCGCCAATGGTCAGGGTCCCCAATGTGGTGGGCGACGCGTCGGGCCGCGCGGTCGGCTCGCGCCGCGCGGTGGCCGCGCAGCTGGCGGCGGCGTGTCGGGCAATCGACGCCGAGGTCGCCGATCCCCGTCAGCAAGGCGAAGAAGACGAAGGCGCTGGGCGCGTCCATGGCGCTCAAGAACGAGCTGATGCATCAACAGGGCTGGGGCCTCGACTGCACGGACTTCGTCGACGGCCATCGGGGGCTGGCCGCGGCTGGCCCCTACATGGGAGTGGCGGCCCCCTCAGCCAGGTGGGGCGTGGCCAGGGTGCAGGGCCGTAAACTCGCGAGGCCATTCAAGCTTGGGGCGCCTCGGGCCAGGGTCTTCAGGGCAGGGCCGACGCGGCCAGGGCCACTTGGGGCACTGCCATCATGGTAGTTCCAGAGAGACGCATGGGGCAGCTGAGGATCGGCGCAGTCAAGTCGAAGGAGCATCCTTGGGGCTTGCCGGCCTTTCGCAGCGAGGGGGGTGGCATCGGGGTCCGCTGGTCATCGCCGCCAAGCAGGCCATCGTGTCCCACTTGGAGGTGGTCCGGGCTGGCCTCATCGCGGAATGGGTGGCCAGGGCGTGCCCTGCAAACGGCATGCAAACGGCTCGGGCGCCGCCTCCATGGAGGTCGGTGAAGGATCCCGCCTCGGCTCTGGTCCTCGCTCTCAGCCGCGTCGACTGTGGCTTCGTCGGCGGCCGCCTTTGCGTCGGCCGCGACGCCCGCGGCTATGCCTGTGACGCGCGACGGCGCTCTCAAGCCTTCCTCGGCAAGCCCGCGATGCAGGAGTGCAGGGGGGCCGTCGGAGCGGGGGGGGTCTAGCGACAGGGCCCCGGCATGCGGGCCTAGGATGCGGACTCGATGTGGGTGCTAGCCATGCAGATGCTGCGCCGCTGGTCGGACGTCTGGGGCCCGCGTCGGCAGGGGGCCCCGAGGGGTCTCATCCAGAGCGTCTACTGGTGCCAAGCCCGCTCTGGAGCCAGGGGCCTTCCCATCCCGACGAACTGCCGGCTCTGTGGCAGTCAGTGCCGACGGCTCGCTGTGCCATGGGCGCCGCGGGCGCGACGCGCGCGCGGTCTGGCGTCGCGGCGCCATCGGTCCCGAAGTCGAGCTGGCGGCAGAGAAGGTCCAGGAGCAAGGGTGCCATTTCGACGACCTGTTCGCCGGGGGTCTTCCGGCGGCCTGCCCGTGCCAGGTGCGCGGAGTTCAGGTGCGCGGCGTCGCGGCGCCGGCTGGGCCGTTTCCAGGGGGCTGGCTGGTGGGTTTTCATGGGCGGTTCGGGCTTCGATCAGAACTTTCGCGCGCTGCGTGCAGCTGGCTGGTCGGTCGCCATCTGCGACTCCAGCGGGCGCTTCGCCGCGGCAGCCTGGGCAGTGCCGCCCGAAGCAGCGCCCGAGCAACCTCTGCGATATGAAGAGGGCTGCGCGGTGAGGGTGCTCACGGGCAAGATTGCGGGCGGCGACTACACGCTGCGCGTCGAGTGCATGGCCGCGGTCTGCTGCGCCCTCGCCCCGCGCTGGGCCGCCGGGCACGGGGCGCAGCGGGCCCGCCTCTGGGCGGGCCTGGCAGCGGGCAGGCGGCAGTGGCCGACGGGCGCGTCGCGCAGATGGAGCTAGGTGGCAGTCGGAAACCAGATGGGCAGGCCAAGGCTGGGGCCAGTTTGGCCAGGGCCAACATTGCGAGCATCCAGACGTTGGGGGGCTGCGTCCACATCGCCAAGCTTGCGGCGCAGTTTGCGGGCCTACAGGGTGCGACTCTGAGCGAGCGGAAGGCGCGGGGCAGCGTGGGCTCGGGGGCGCTGGAGGTGACCGGCGTCGGCGAATTCCCGCCAGAGTATGACGACCTCCCTGATGACCAGGCTAACGACTTTGGCGAGCCCGGCGCGATGGGCGCGCCCCCCGAAATGTCCAGCCAGCAGCGGCCCGACAGTGACGACGGCGGCAGCAGGGCGGAGGTGGGCCAGGAGACACCCCCGCGAGGCGGCTCGAGTCAAGTGACCTGCAGCAGCCGCCGCCCAGGGCAACGCGGGCGGTGCGTCTCCGACTCGCAGCGGTGGATGACGCGAGCAGGCAGCCCCGTGACCTCGGCGGTGAAGCGGCCGCAGCGAGCCTGCCCCCGACGGGGGAGGCGCGGGGCGCCTTGTGAGCCTGCGGCAGGCTCGATGGGTTTTCCCTGCTATGCCCAGGCGATGTATCAGATAAAAAAGAGCGGGGCCTAGTAGGTTGCTGCCCTGGCGGGCCAATCGCTTCCGCCCCCGCGAATCGCAGCGCTGTCCTGTCTGTGAAGCGCCACCCTCAGAGGGGGAATGGCGTCCTCGGTGACCGCGCCCCCCTTCGGAAGATCTGACGGAGTGTTCGGCGGGCGACTTTGCGGTTTCAGCCCAGGCCAACCCGAAGCGGGCGGGCCTCGCGGTCCCTCTGGCGAGCTGCCCCAGGAGGCCAGCCTTTCCGGAATCGCTCGCCTCCTTCGCGCTCACGCTGGCCCACGCCCATCCGTTGCGGCCCCAGGATCTGGAGGCTAGAGCTCGGCGAGAGCAGGGGCCATAGTGCCAGGTCTCTGGAATTCAAATCGGCGTGGCGCCTTTGTGGCAGGGTCCGCCTCCTCCAAGTTCGCCTCCTCGTCCTCCTCCTCCTCCTCCTCCTCCTCCTCCTCCTCTTCCTCCTCCCCCTCCTCGTCCTCCTCCTCGTCCTCCTCCTTCTCCTCCCCCTCCCCTCCTCCTCCTCCTCCTCCTCCTCCTCCTCCTTCCTCCTCGTCCTTGTCCTCCCCTTCTCCTCTTCCTCCTCCTCCTCCCCCTCCTCCTCCTCCTCCTCCTCCTCCTCCTTTTCCCCTCATCTTCCTCCTCCTCCCTCCTCCGCCCTCTGCCAGCCCCCGCTTCTCGTCGCCTTTCAATCAATGCCTCCGCAATGCTCGTGCCAGTCTTTTTGGGCTTGTTGAGGCCCCTGGGGACCTGCGGAGGCCCCCGCGAGGACCTCTGGTGGGCCCCCAGAGGCCTCCGGAGGGCCTTCGATGGGGCCTGGTGGCAACCGTCCCCATTGGCCAAACCCACCAGGGTCGCACAGCAACCCCACGTGGAGAAGTCATCGACCAAGTGCCAGGCGCGTTGCAGATTTGTTGTTTCGTTTTGGGATCTGTTCTTGCTTACCACTCCTCAGAGGATGACGCCCCCCGAAGAATCGTTCCCTTGCTCGCCGTTCCCCCCCGATTGCACCCACTTCTGCCCGCCCTGCGCCTTCATCCTGCTTCCCCTCCTCTTCCTCCCCCCTCTCTCTCCCTTCTTCCTCTCCCTCCCCCTTGCCTGTCGCCTCCTCCCGCCTCAAGGATAACTGTGCGGCCGAACGAATGGCCAGTACATGAATATCAACAGATAGAAGGCAAGTGGGAGGACGGAGTAGTGGAGACCAGGAGATGTCGTAGAGGAGGAGGAGGAGGAAGAGGAAGAGGAAAACGAATAATACTGTGGAGTTGATTAACAATATAACTAATAGTGGTAAGTGGGAACTAAACATAATAGTACATGCGGCGATATGAATCATCATAATACTCTTACTAATAGTAAAGAGAGAAAGACTAGCAAACATACAATGGCATAGCAACGCTGATAATAGACACGCGAACTCTATACATCGTACTAACAATAGTGATACGTAGAATAGTACTCAGATTCATCATAATATAAAGGCTGATGTCAGTCATATTTTTGATAGTAACAACAGTCATACTATTACCAAGAATGACAATAGTAATACTACTTCTAACAATCAGAAGTGGCTGTACTGATGGTATTCACGCTATCAACAATACCATTACTACTTCATAGTAATGAGGACCGCAATAGTACTGATATTACTAATCGTAAGAACCGTACTGCTACTTATTCCAACCATACTAAGTAGTTACAACGTTTCCATACTACAAAGAAGAATAATGCGAACAGTCAGAATAATAACGCGAGCCATAATACGAAGGAGACGAATAAGAGGAAACCTAGTACCACGAATAATAATAATAACGGTCTTAATACGCAGACGAATGCGAACCATGGTAATATGAGTACTATATGAAGAATGCGAATCATAATACTACGAAGAAGAAGGCTGCTAACACTACTGATGCTACTACTAATTTTATTCCTAATACTAGCAATACTTGCAACTCATACTATTAATACTAATAAGGCGAACGAAACTACTAAGAATGCGAATGCCCATAAGACTAATACTAAACTGATAATAATATCATTGCGACCAATCAAGATACTAATAATCATAATAAGAGGAAGCGGAGGAGGAGGAGGAAGAGGAGGAGGAGGGGGAGGGGGAGGGGAGGAAGAGGAGGCGGAGGAGGCGGAAGAAAAGGAGGAAGAGGAGGAGGAGGAAGAGGAGGAAGAGGATGAGAAGGATGATCAGGAGGAGAAGGATGATGATCATGAGAAGGGTGAAAAGGATTAGGATGAGGATGAGGGTGAGGAGGAGGAGGAGGAGGAGGAGGAGGAGGATTAGGACGAGGAAAAGGAAGGATGCATCGGCTCCATTCCCTACCTGCCCTCCTCTGATCGCCCCCTCGTTCCCCCCTGCTGTGGCTGCGGGAGGTCGAGATGGGCGGCCAGTGGTACTCTCGGCGGGGAAGGGCAGAAACGTGGGCGCGAACGAACGAATGCCAGAAGCGTGCGCGCGGCTGCAGCCGTAGAAGTTCACTGGGGGACATGGTGTAAGTGTAACGCAAGCATTTTGCAATATTGGATGGGGGGAGCGCAGCGCATTTGGGAAACAGACAGAGAACAGACGAGAGACGAACGGAGCTACAGCACGCAGAGAAAGTAGTCATCGCCATAGCCTCGACAACACACATGTGACAACTAAGCGAAGTGCTCGCCGCCCGTGTGTTCGCCGTCGTCGCCCGAATCGTCTGAGTTGCCACACGCACGCTCCTTTCGTCTCATCACGGCTTGCTGAAGTAGGGTATCTACTTCCCATTGATTTGTTTCGGGATCAGTTGAGCCGGTCTTTCCTTACCCAACGGTCTACGAACAATTTTGGGAGGTTGTGATGTGGTACGTTGGGAGGACAGGCCAAAGCACATTTTTCCTCCCCGACATTGTGTGCATACCACTTGCAGCCCTGGCGTATTGTGCTTGGCGTCGGTGAGCTCGCTGTCGCAGTCCACAGTTGCCTTCTCGTAGTCTGGCAGGCTCACGCCGTGAACCTCTGCCCACTCTGAGGGGAGGGCGGGAGGGGTTGAGGAAGGAGACGCCACAATGACGGGGGCGAGCACAGGGAGGAAGCGAGGAGGAGCAGGCCCTCTCAGAAGGCGGCGGGGCTTCTCAGAAGCTCTGGCGCCTTCTGAGCAGTTTTCTGCGTCTTCGGGGAATGCTCAGAAGCCTTTTCAGAAGGCCAGAGGCCTCCCGAACCTTCTGAGAAGGCCTCCCGAAGCTCACTCCCCTCCCAGGCGCGCCGCGGAACAAGGACGGGGGCCCGCGTGCTGGCAAGTGCCCCGCGGCGGTCTGGGAGTACCGCGGCCGTGACTCGCCGAGGGTCGCATGCAGCAGCTGTTCCAGCGCTTCTGGCCGAGAGTTCTCTCCGAGGCCCAGGCCCTTCGTTCACGACTGAGGTTCTCGACTCGCAGCGCATCATAAGGCTGACAGTCTGGCGTCAGCAGCTTGATTCGGGCCGCGAGGGTAGACACAACACGAGGAGAGCGAGGACGTGCAGCGGAGGAGCGGAGAGATGGGATGGGGAGGGGAGCGGAGAGGGGAGGGGGGAGGGGATGGGGAGGGGACGGAGGCAACGCATGCAGGGCTGTTGCTCCCATCGAGCCTGCCACACGCGACAGGGGCGCGTCCGCCGACGTCGCCGACACATCGCCGATGCGGCTTGATCCTCCGACCCCATGTGCTCTGACGCCAGTTCTAATCCAGTGCTACTCTTCGTATCCGTTAGGAACATACTAGTTGAGTGCCACTGCAAATTGATGTTATGTTTGACGCTTCGCGTAACCCCACCAGCTTCTGCGCTCCAGTCGTTTATCCCGTTTCTTGACTTGTGTCCTGGAGCCGCGAACCAAAAAGTAACCCCACCAGCCCAGCCAGAAACGATGCCCAGAGGAGTTGCCTCGATCAGGGAAGTGGGCAGCACACAGAGGAAGGGTCCCTCTTGGAGCGCTCTTGGGACACTCTTGGACGCTCTTGGGGCCGTCTTGGGGCTCTCTTGGGTTTCTCTTGGGCCTCTCTTGTGGCCCTCAGGTCACTTTGTAACCATCTTGAGGTTCCGGAAGGCCATCGGAAGTGGAAGGCGAGGAGCCCATCCAGAGACGATGCCGAGACGAGTTGCCCTGATCAGGAACGTGGGGGAGCATAGAGAGGAACAGAGGGCTGAAAACAAATACTCTTACCCCAAGAGGGGGAGGAAGGAGGAGGAATCGGAGGATGAGGATGAGGATGAGGAGGAGGCGGAGGAGGAATCGGAGGAGGAGGAGGAGGAGGAGAACGAGGAGGAGGAGGAGGAGAGACAGTGGATGATGATGATGATGATGATGATGATGATGATGATGATGATGATGATGATGATGATGCTGATGCTGATGCTGATGCTGATGCTGATGCTGATGCTGATGCTGATGATGATGATGATGATGATGATTATGATGGTGGTGGTGGTGGTGGTGATGATGATGATGATGCTGATGATGATGATGATGATGATGATGATGAGGAGGAGGAGGAGGAGGAGGAAAAGGAGGAGGAGGAGGAGGAGGAAGTGTGGGATGGGGGAGGAGGGAGGAGGGAGAAGGAGGAATAGGCGGATGAGGAGGAGGAGGAGGAGGAGGAGGCGGAGGCGGAGGCGGAGGAGGCGGAGGAGGAGGAGGAGGAGGAGGAGGAGGAGGAGGAGGAGGGGGAGGGGGGGAGAAGGAGGAAAAGGAGGAGGAGGCGGAGGAGAAGGAGGAGAAGAGCGGGCAGAAGGGCCAGAGGCCTCTTGAACGCCTCTCAGAGTCTCCTCGGATGTCTCTTGGAAGTTTTTTGGAGGCATCTTGGCGGTCCTGGGGGCCTCTTGGAGCGCCTTGGATGCTTCGGGGAGCCTCTTGGGGCCTCTTGGGGCCGTTGTGAGGCGCTCTTGGGAGGCTTGGGAGCCTTGGCGTCCTGCTTCTTTTCACCTAGTGTGTGTGTGTGTGTGTGTGTGTGTGTGTGTGTGGGTGTGTGTGTGTGTGTGGAGCCTTGGGAGCGCTCTTGGGGTTCATCTTGGAGGAGATCGATCAAACAGATGACAGCTTTAGTTGCGTTCCCCCCTCGGGAGCCCCGAACATCGCCTCTTGGGCCGCTCTTGGGGCGCTCTTGGAGTGCTCTTGGGCGCTCTTTGGGTCGTCTTTGGGCTCTCTTGGGCCTCTCTTGGAGCCCTCATGGGCCGTCTTGCAGCTGTCTTGATGCCTCGGAAGGCCATCGGAAACGAACAAGCGAGAAGGCACAACTCATTGATTTCCCTAGGTCTTTCGAAAGATTTTGGCCTCTTGGCGGCCTCCTGGGGAGTCTCCGTGGCCACTCGGAGCCGTCTTGGAGCGGTCTTGCTTCTTGGAGCATCTCGGGAGCCAGATTGAGCCATTTTGGGCTATCTTGGGCCATCTTGGAAGTCATCTTGGGCTCTCTGAGGCCCCTCTAGAGCCATCTTGGGCCATCTCGGACGCTCTAGCGACCCGCGACCCCTCCAGGTCCAGGGAAGGGGGTAAGGGGCAGGGGTGAATCCCTCCCCGAAAGGGAAGAGGGAGTGGTGGAAGAGGAAACGCGCTAGACCACCTACGCCCAGAGCGCTGGTGGGATTAGTACAAGCGCCATTAACAGCTGCCAGTTGTGGTGCTACGGCTATTATCGGTACTGCCACTGGAAATGCGAATGGAAATATAGGCGAAAATCAATCTAATGATGGTGATGATGGGCATGAGCGCCCTTTCCTGGAGGTACCACTCCAGCCACCCGCTGCCCGCAACGACGGGCAACGACGGCGACGACGAAGAAGCAGACGCTGACCGCGGCGACGTTGGCGACGGGGGCAGCAACGAACCGCTTCGCCGAAGGTCCCAGACTCCCGGGGCCCCGGGGCTCATCGGGATGCCGAAATCGAATACGATCCCAAGGTGGTGACAATTGCGCAAACCAGAAACGGCATCATTTTGACATCTTGTTTGCTTTCGTCTTCGTGCCAGCTGTAAGTTGTCAGACTTGGATCGGCCGCCGTGCCTGCACGGCAATGGCGTGTCATAATGCCCGTGAGCTGTCTGGTGGGGTTTCTGTATCCGTGTCAGGGACCCTCTCCGTGACCCGCGTAGCGTGTGTGCCCTCAGGTTCAAGTGAGTGTAGTTTGTGTCTCCCCAAGATCATCAAGCACCGGCCATGTACTTTTGGATTTCATATTGAGGTGCGCGTAGTGCCTGCGCCTTTTAAATTGAGGTTTCAGTGGGTGTATTACTCGTGAATCTAAGGTTCGAGTGCGTGTAGCGTCTGTGTGTCAATTACTTAGCCGTGTGTAGTGCTTGTGCTTGTGAGGTCTAGGTGCGTGTCGTGTTTGCGTCTCTAAGGTTTCAGCGCCTACCGCGTCTTTGCTTCTCTGAGGTCAAACTGCGCGTAGAATTTTGTCTCAAGGTTGAATCGTGTGGCGTATCATTGTGTCTAGAAGAGGTTCAGTTGTGTATAGCTCTTGCGTAAATGCTGTGTAGGTGCGCGACGAGTTGTCACCAAGGTTTAAGTGTGTGTGTGTGTCGTGTTTATGTGTCTTTACGGTTTAAGTGCATGTCTTTTTTTGTGTCCAGGGTGTAAGTGCGCACTGCATGAGCGCAAACGGGAGCAGGAGCGCTGCGCGCGAGCGGTCGCGCGCTTGACCACGGGTCCGCCGGGACGTGTCACAGTTCGGCAGGGAGTAGCCTAATTTGCCGGGAAGTAGATTGTTCATGCCTTATGGGGCCTCTTGGGCCATTTTCGGGCCTTCTTGACCACTCTAGGGCCGTATTGGATTGTCTTCGGGCCCTCTTGGGGCTGTCCTGGGCCGTCTGGGGGCTTCATCATGGGGCCCCTGTCTCTTTGGCTCCTCCTGCGCCCTCTTGGAACCATTTTGAGCCGAAAGGTTTGGGGACACCCAGCAGATTCGCAAAGCATCCTGGGTGAAAGAGTGAATTGGGCGTTCTTGAAGGGCCTTCTGGAGGGCGGCCTCCTGGCGTTCTCTTCCGTTGGAATCCTGTGGCCACTCTTGCGGTCTTCTTGGGGGCTGTTGGATGCGTTTTGAGGCGGTGCTGGGCCGTCACGGCTTTGGGGGCCATCCTGGGCCATCTTGGCAGCATCGGCAAGCCTCAGGGAGGGGCCAGGGCCGCGCAGGGAGCCTCGGGAGGGAGTGGTGGCGCACCCAGCTGGGTGCCCTCGGGAGACTTCTGTCGGCGGCGAGCGATGGGGGCGAAGTGAGAGGGAGAAGGCCCTCTCGGCAGGCAGCGGGCCTTCTCAGAGGGCCTCTGGCCCTCTGGGAGGTTTTCCCTGTCTTCGGGGAAGGCTTAGAAAGCTTGTCAGAAGGCCGGGGGACTTCCGAGCCTTCTGAGAAGGCCTTTTCCTCCTCACTTCCCCCCCTCGCTCGCCGCCGATTCTATGTAGACCCTGCCTGGCAGCACTTAACATTCGGCAGTTTCTCAACCTTGCCCCGGGGGGGGGCAAGGTTGGGGATCGGTTCTGGGACCGCGGGAGCCGCGCGTTTAGCAATTTGTGCCTCGTGTCGCGGACGCGAATCAGCCAACATCTTTCTAGTATGTACACGCCATGCGCTTCCATGTCGTGGCCCGCTCGCAAGAGACACTCGTGTACGCCTGGCACGTGGCACTCGGCAGCGCACTCGACCCGCGCAGCTTGGTGGGCCCTAGAGAGGGAGGAGTATCAGGCGGCAGCTTCTCGCCACCACCCCTGTCAGTCATGCGCCCTGCTCTCCGTCCTGCTCTCTGCATCCGAGTTGGGCGAATCTGTACCGTTCAAGAACCAAACACGGCATCAACCTGATTTCGTGGAGTTCTCACATTTTTGGCGGATCGGCGCTGGGTCCCCCTGGCGGCGCCGCGGGCGCCGATCCAAAAAATCCGCGCGGTTCTCCAGGGCATTCTGATTTCGCAGTGTTTTGTTCCTCTGCAGTGGAGACGCGCACCACGAAGCAGGGTTCTGTCGCTTTCAGCGATGCGCAGGGAATTCCCGCCTGTCCTTGCGAGACGGTTGCGCCCAGGGTTCCTTGGGTTTCAGGACTGGGCTTCTTGCAAGTGCTAGGATGTAACTCCTGGGAGGTAACATTCTGAATTGGCGCTGCGGATGCAACTCCTGGGAGGTTACATTCTGAATCGGCGCTGGTTTAATCCCGCTTCCGGCTTCATTCCTCTAAGTCTGGTTGAATCCCGCGCTTTCTTCGGCCCAATCCCGCGCTATCGGGCCCGATCCAGCTCAGTGGTCCCTTTGTCGAGCTCAATCCTTTTTAATCGTTTTGACGAAGATCTCACATGGTGCGCGACCAGGCGTGTGCGACCTGGCGGCGAGGCCACCCCCCAGGCGCGGGCGGTCCTTGCAGGCCCCCCGGCCCCGAGCAAAAAGCAGGCGGGAGGAGGAGGAGGAGGAGGAGGAGGAGGAGGAGGAGGAGGAGGAGGAGGAGGGATGAGGAGGAGGAGGAGGAGGAGGAGTGGGAGGAGGCGGGAGGAGGGCGGAGGAGGGGGAGGAGGGGGAGGAGGAGGGCGGAGGAGGCGGAGGAGGGCGAAGGACGGCGGGGCGGAGGAGGGCGAGGAGGAGGAGGAGGAGGAGAGGGGGAGGAGGAGGAGGAGGAGGAGGAGGAGGAGGAGGAGTGGGAGGAGGAGGAGGAGGCGGAGGAGGAGGAGGATTTGGAAGAGGAGGAGGAGGATGAGAGATGATGATGAGCAGGAGGAGGCGGAGGAGGATGAGGAGGAGGAGGAGGAGGAATAATAAGAAGAAGGCGAATCCTGATAATACTACGAATGATTCTGTTAAGACGACGAATACTACTAATAATCGTAGTAGTATGAAGAAGAAGCATAGTAACACGACGCCGACTAATACTATTAAGACGAATAATAATAATACGGATGCTACTCATTGTAATCATAAGAAGAATACGAAGGACACTGAACATACTTCTTTGATACAGAATACTAATTCATTTTGCTAAACATACGAAGAATACTATTAAGACACATGCTAATAAGAATCAGACTCGTACCAACACTAACAATAATACGACTAATGATAATGCCAATAAAGCTCCTAATACTAATGATTCTACTAATACTATTACTCATATTCATACTCATACTCATACTCATACTCATACTCATACTCATACTCACACTCACACTACTACTACTACTACTACTACTACTACTACTACTACTGCTACTGCTACTACTACTACTACTACTTCTACCTCTACTTCTACTTCTACTTCTACTTCTTCTACTACTACTACTACTACTACTACTACTACTACTAATACTAATACTAATACTACTACTAATACGAATACTAATATTAATACTAATACTAATACTATTACTAATACTAATACTACTACTACTAATACTAATACTAATACTAATACTAAGACTAATACTGATACTGGTACTGATACCGATACTAAGACTAATACTAAGACTAAGACTAATACTAAGACTAAGACTAAGACTAAGACTAATACCAACACTACGACTAAGACTCAGACTCAGACTCAGACTAATAATAAGACTAAGACGAAGACTAAGACTAATACTAAAACTAAGATGATGATGATGGTGATGCTGCTGCTGATGATGATGATGAGGAGGAGGAGGAGTAGGAGGAGGGAGGAAGAGGATGATCTCTTGCTACCGCGTCCTCACCATATACTGCAAGCGCATGGGCGTGCGTGAGCGGGGCGCCAGGCGATCTGCGGCAGGGCCTCCGTCCGCTGGCGAGCCGCACCGCGCGTGCGGCCCTCGGTGCTGCGCCCGCGAGCTGGCCCCGTCGGGTCACGCCCTGCTGCCGGGGGCGGAGTAGTCGGCGGCGAGCGAGGGGGGAAGTGAGAAGGAGAAGGCCTTCTCAGAAGACGGCGGGACTTCTCAGAAGCCCTCGCGCCTTCTCAGAAGCTTTCTATGTCTTCGACAAGGCTTTGAAAACTTCTCAGAAGGCCGGGAAATTTCCAAGCCTTCTGAGAAGGCCCTCCCCTTCTCACTCCCCCCCAGGCTCGCCGCCGAAATAGGGCAGGGGGGGATGCATCGATCCTCAATCGCCCACTCATCGCTGATTAGGGCCCGATGGCCCCAACCTGCCCAGGAGCGTCCGGATTTGCTGTCGGGGGGCCAGTCGCCAATCTATCGGCGATGTATCGCCGATTCCAGGTCGATGTTTTTTCCCCTGTGTCAGTCCCCCCCTATCGCTGCCCCTCAAGGAGGAGCGGCCCAGCGGTGTGCGGCAAGTCTCTGGTCCGTGCCCGCCACGGAGCAGTCGCACGTGCATGCGCGCTGCATGCTGCTCTCTGCAGGCAGTCTTCCTCCTCCTCCCCATTCCCCTCCTCCTCCTCCTCCTCCTTCTTCTCCTCCCCCTCCCCCTCCTTCTCCTCCTCCCCCTCCTCCTCCTCCTTCTCCTCCTCCCCCTCCCCCATTCCCCTCCTCCTCCTCCTCCTCCTTCTCCTCCTCCCCCTCCCCCTCCCCCATTCCCCTCTCCTCCTCCTCCTCCTTCTCCTCCTCCCCCTCCCCCTCTTTCTCTAGGAGCCGCCCAGGCACAATCGGCCGAGAGCTCCCTGCAGCGCAGCCCCGCACACCACATCTCTGTGTGCAGGCAGCGAGGGCAGAGCAGCGGGACGGTGCCACCCGGGCGGCAGCGGCAGACGGTCTATTTCACACGCACGCCCGCACTCCCCCACCTTCCGCACAACGAAGTGGATTCTTCATACTGTTCCATGGGCAGGCTTTACGAGACTCGAAGGGATTTGAGTAGGGGGCCACTTGCGAACCCTACCCCTACCCCCACGATTTCTGAGGGGGAGGCAGGGGTTCACTTTATTGAGGAGCTCCCGAGCGAAGTGACCCCCCCCCCCTCTCAGAAATCGTGGGGGGTAGGGGTAGGGTTCGCAAGTGGCCCCCTATTGAGGTCAGACCGAGAGTCTCGACACATACATTGCCAAAGGGACGGGCCGAGCCGCTAGAGATGCCGACGTCACGAAGTGCCAGCTCCCCTTTCACCAAGCGCTGCAATTTGGGTGGCGCTGAGCTTGAGGCACGAACCAATCTTGCTGATTAGCAATACTTTACGGCAAACGGCTGCGAGGGACATTGATGAGAGTCGCCACGCTTCCCCCGCATTTTGGAACTACGGGCAGAGTGGCCATGGCACAGTTCAAAATGGGGAGCACGTCGCTAGCTGTATTCCCGACATACATACCGCCGAAAAAAGGACTCACATCCAGCATGTTGCGCACGATTACCGAACAAGATTTTGGAGTCAGTCGAGCAGGAAATTGACAAGCTCTGGCAGTCCTGTCTCCCCGTCGTCGCGGGCGATTTGAAATGCAGCTTTGGGTGGCAGACAAGCATTACTGGAAGGCGACTCAAAGTCGATACCCCGAGTGCAGGAACAAGAGGGCCAGCGATCGAGAGCAAGACTAGCACGATAGTTCGCGACTTCCTCGCCAGCCACTCTTTGGCGCTGGCGGACACGTTCTGGGACTCGGGGCCCACATACTACACAGGGCCCCACAAGAGCAAGATAGACCACTTCGCTTTGCCCATCGGGAGCAAAGGACGGATTCGACAACTCCACCCTCTCCTTGGATTATGACGCAAGTTGCAGAGATACGTGAGCACGCACCTCCACGACCATGTGCCCGTGTACCTGAATATGGACATGCATGTGTTGTGCGCGCGCATGTTAGCCAGCTCGCGCCGCCAGTCAACCGAGACAGCATGATGAGAGCATGCGGCGGCGGATGCCGACGGGTGGGATTTCTGCAAAAACTTGAGGAGACAACACCATAAATCAGCGACGAGGAATGGCGAGCATGCTGGGGCCCGGGGCACGTTGAAATAGGTTGGCAACTTTTGTCTACTTGCATGCGTGAAGCCATGGCAGAGAGATTCCCCAAACAGCAGCGACACATCATCGTTTATCAGAAAATCTGAGACGAACGAGTCGACTTATTGAAAGAACGCGCAAGACTGCGCATGGAGATTGCGAGAACGGGGTCGGCAAGTTTCGAGGGGGGCGGACCGATGCACTTTGATCGCATAGAGAGACAGCTCCACACGTTATCAAGACAAGTGCAACATTTGCGACGAGAGCAAAAGAGCTTGCGCACGACGGACATCAGTACCGATATTGGCAAAGCATGAAACAGAGACGACCTGCCGAGGTCCATAGATTGCGAGTCGTATTGTCGAATGCGGGGCGGGGGACAAGAACGCGATTCCTTTTCGCCCCTTGCATAGCGTGACAGTGCAGCGGCGGGCAGGATGGCCTTGCCCAGCCGCCCCAGCACGGAGGCGTGCAGAGCGAGAGCACCGACTGGCAGCAGTGGACTGGTGCCCGCGCCTTCCCGCCCCGCCTGTTCGGCGCCCCCGATTTAGTGGACCTCGCCAAAATGACCGAGCAGGACGGATTCAATGCTTAAGACGGGCCCCAAAACGACGAGCAGGACTTGCGCGGGAAGTACTCGCAGAGGCCCTGTGCGCGACTGTCGACCACAAACGTTGCAAGAACGAAAACGATCGCAAATTCGCGCCTGCAGTGTTTGCCAGGCGATGCAATGATCTTCTAGCCCTCGGTGGACTGGTAGGATCAGCGCCTTCAAGTCGCATTAGGGGCCGGGCCTCCTCGCGGAGCAAGAGCAACCGGAAGCAAATAATTAAAGAGCAGAGGATTTTACGCTGGTTCGACGCCTTCGGGATGTCCTAGTTCGGATGCCTTCCGAGAATTTCCAGGGGGCCGACCCCGCCGGACTTTGCGCGCGGAGGGCCGAGGGGGCGCAGGGGGGGGGGGTACTTAGCTAAGCAGCAGCAGGCTGGAGATACAGAGCAGCAAAGATAAACCATGCTACTAGCAACTGCGACGGCACGAATGCGTTCGCATGCGCTACTCGCATCAGCCTCCCACATTTACATGGCCAAACGCGCCGATCAGAAAAAAAAACTCGCCCCGCAGACCAAGCAGTGCTGCAAGCAACTATTCGCGTGGAAGCGATAGACGGCGCAGCAGTTTTCCGCCCGCGCAGTGCAACGACCATGGGCCACCCATTAGCCGCGGGAGGCTTTGCGGACATTTACATGCCCGCGGTGCCGCGCTTGAGCGTCGGCCTCGCTGAGGGCGACGTCGGCCAGGAATGGGCGCGATGGGGGGTGCCCAGTGGCAGACGACGACGTAGACGTCGGCGTAGGATTCTTTGTAGACGACGTACCACGGCTACACATGCGCGCATATGCGCCACGAGCGCGACGCGTCGCGCAGCTGCTCAACCGCGCCGCGCGCGGGCTCCAGGGCTACATTCATGTGAACGGGCGCTTCCTGAACGCAGACAAGTCCAACCAACCCATTTCCCCCCCCCCCCCTTTTCCCCCCAGCCATCCTGTGGTGTTGGGTCCTCGTTTTGAAGAGACCTCGCCCCGCGTTCCTTCTCCTCCTCCTCTTCCTTCCTCCTCCTCCCCTTCCTCCCCCCTCCTCCCCCTCCCACGCCCATTCTGGCACGCCCCTCACACGTTTCGTGGCCCCATAGGGAGCTCTACCGAAGGCCCCAGTGGCTCCGCCCGCATGCGGTTCCACCCCCCATTCTGGAACACCCATTCACGCGTTTCGTGGCCCCATAGGGAGCTCCACCGGAGGCCCCAGTGGCTGCGCCCGCATGCGGTTCCACCCCCCATTCTGGCACACCCCTCACACGTTTCGTGGCCCCATAGGGAGCTCCACCGAAGGCCCCAGTTGCTGCGCCCGCATGCGGTTCCACCCCCCATTCTTGCACACCCATCACGCGCTTCGTGGCCTCATAAGGAGCTCCACCGAAGGCCCCAGTGGCTGCGCCCGCATGCGGTTCCACCCCCCATTCTGGCACACCCCTCACACGTTTCGTGGCCCCATAGGGAGCTCCACCGAAGGCCCCAGTGGCTGCGCCCGCATGCGGTTCCACCCCCCATTCTGGCACACCCCTCACACGTTTCGTGGCCCCATAGGGAGCTCCACCGAAGGCCCCAGTGGCTGCGCCCGCATGCGGTTCCACCCCCCATTCTGGCACACCCCTCACACGTTTCGTGGCCCCATAGGGAGCTCCACCGAAGGCCCCAGTGGCTGCGCCCGCATGCGGTTCCACCCCCCATTCTGGCACACCCCTCACACGTTTCGTGGCCCCATAGGGAGCTCCACCGAAGGCCCCAGTGGCTGCGCCCGCATGCGGTTCCACCCCCCATTCTGGCACACCCCTCACACGTTTCGTGGCCCCATAGGGAGCTCCACCGAAGGCCCCAGTGGCTGCGCCCGCATGCGGTTCCACCCCCCATTCTGGCACACCCCTCACACGTTTCGTGGCCCCATAGGGAGCTCCACCGAAGGCCCCAGTGGCTGCGCCCGCATGCGGTTCCACCCCCCATTCTGGCACACCCCTCACACGTTTCGTGGCCCCATAGGGAGCTCCACCGAAGGCCCCAGTGGCTGCGCCCGCATGCGGTTCCACCCCCCATTCTGGCACACCCCTCACACGTTTCGTGGCCCCATAGGGAGCTCCACCGAAGGCCCCAGTGGCTGCGCCCGCATGCGGTTCCACCCCCCATTCTGGCACACCCCTCACACGTTTCGTGGCCCCATAGGGAGCTCCACCGAAGGCCCCAGTGGCTGCGCCCGCATGCGGTTCCACCCTCCATTCTGGCACACTCCTCACACGTTTCGTGGCCCCATAGGGAGCTCCACTGAAGGCCCCAGCGGCTGCGCCCGCATGCGGTTCCACCCGCCA